AGACAAACTACCTGTGCATTAAGGTAAGCAGATTTCATTTTCCCCTTGACAGTATAAATCACACTTTGCAATACTGCAATGTTCACGTCAGAGGCTCTCACATGAAACAAGGGGCCCTTGTACATCCTGAGGGCATCTCAGACTTCTGGTTCATTGCTCCCAACCAGAAAATCCTATAATTCCACTGTATGACATCATCAAGAGTGTTGTCACCAACTTCCCCTTGCAAATAAACAGTTAACAAAGCTCAAAGAAGGATAAAGTTAAATATGGACAGCCAACAGTGGGCAATTCTTCCCAAAAGACCTCAGTAGCCTCAGCTACCTACAGTCATGCACTCAACTGGGCTCGTGGCAGGTGCTACTCCTGTAGTTCACATGATTCAGTCCTTACTGCAGCTTCCCAAAGCTATCCCCAGGAGTTGTGCTCTTCCTCTCGAGATGTTCTCTGCAGCTTTCAGGTGAAGCTCATCCCTCCTCTTGCTGTTCTCCACAGCAAACAACAGACAACATTGGGTTATTAACCCAGCTGCTCTCCAGCCACATAATTCTCCATGGCCTTCAGCAGATAACATCTCTAGTCCTTTTTCCCTGATGAAGGGCCTCTTTGTTGTGTGGCTCATTTCAGTACAGAAGTGGAAGGGAATTTCAGAGTTTTGTTGTCCTGCATGTCATGTCACCCTTGAAGCTAAATGAATGAGGACAGCGTGCCTCTGCTCTGCACTGTATCCCTTGCACAATTATCATCAATCTTTGCCTTCAAGAACTGTCCAGGAATCAGGGACATAATCAAGCTTTAATCATCTTTTAACAGTTCTCCACCACTAACACTAGATCAGGGATCCACAGTCTTTCCCCTTTTCCCTCTACCACTTGGACTGAACAGTCCCTCTGGGGTCAACTGGGCAGTTTTTCAAATTACCACAGCTTACAAGGAGAGAGAAAGAAAAGTTCCACATGCACCAAAATGTTCATAGAACCCTCCCTCAGTAATAGCAAAGAACTGGAAATAACACAGATGCCCATGGATTGGGGAATGGCTAACCAAATTTTGGAACATAAAAATAATGGAATAGCAATGCACAAGAAATGACAAGCAAGAAGAATCTAGATTAGCTCGAGATTTGTATGAACTGATACACAATGAAGTAGAACCAAGAAAGCAACATACCAATGATTTTTTAAAAATAATTTCTTAGGGGGGCAGCTATGTGGCGCAGTAGATACAGCACCAGCCCTGAAGTCAGGAGGACCTGAGTTCAAATCCGGCCTCAGACCAAACACTTGACACTTACTAGCTGTGTGACCCTGGGCAAGTCACTTAACCCCAATTGCCTAAAAAAAACCCAAAACACAAATAATTTCTTAGGGCAGCTAGGTGGCACAGTGAATAGAGCACCAGCCCTGAAGTCAGGAGGACTTGAGTTCAAATCTGGCCTCAGACACATAACACTCACTAGCTGTATGACCTTGGGCAAGTCATTTAACCCCACTGCCTCACAAAAATAACAATAATAATAATAATAATAATAATAATAATTTCTCTCGGTAATCTGTGTCTTGGAGACTCAGAGCTCCCCCTTTCCCCAGGCCTGAATTGATTTTATCCTACTCAGGTTTGGGTGGAGACAGACTCCCAAGAATGGCTGTGGTATTTTCTTTGATGGCTGGCAATATTGCCCCCTGTGGACATTATTTTAATATGAGCCATCTCCTAGTGTCAACCAATCACAGTTGACTGGCACCCCTTGGGAACACCTACTCTTTGAAGGGCATATAAACATGTACCTCAAAATCCCAACCTGAGTCAGTGAACTGGCCCCGAGCCCAGTTTTGGACTGAATTCCCATGCAATGTATGTCAAGCCAGCTTGAGAGAAACTAAACCATAGACACATGTACCCCAATTTCATTTGTCTCTTTCTTAGAGCAGGCTCTGTTTCAAATTGGGGTTCATGAGGTTCATGGGGCTTGGGGTTCACAGATTATAACAATTAAAAAAGGAACAATAAAATAAAACTGAACACAGTAATTATAAATACCAAGCTTGACTCCAGAGAAGAGTTAAGAAATTTTATCTCCCTCCATTCACTGAAGTAGGGAAATATGACATGATGTATGCCAATACATCTATTGTAAGACACAGATGTCTGTTGATTTTGTAGAACCACCTCTTTTTTTCCTTTTTAAGACCAAATCTAAAAGAATACCTGAGGTTACCATCATTCTCCAGGCATTTCGATATAGCTGTCATCTACTCTAGTCCTCCCCAACAGGCCCCCCCCCAAATTCAGTAAGTCATCAAGAAATCTGAGAACGTTATAGTTGAAATGTTTTTTTGAATTTAATTGCATATTTATTGAATTACACTAGAGATCATATATTTGATCAGGAACTGCCTTTATATTACCCCTGCAAAGTGGTCATCCAGCCCTCCACCCCTCCTAGTGGGTCAGGATCCCACTATCTTCTGGAGCAACCCCATTCTCTTTATAGATAATTCTGATTCTTAGGAAGGCTCTCCTTAGGTAAAGCCAAGATCTGTTTCTTCAGACCTTCCACTCATTCACTGGTCCTAGCCCTACCCTCTGGAGGTAAGTAAAACAAGTACAATTCTTCTTTATCTTGACTGCCCTCCAAAAAAAAAAGTTATCATTTCTTCCCTAGATTTTTCCCAAACACTCTAGCTGTCTTAATGACCCTTCTCTGCATACACTCCAGCTTGTCAACATCCTTACTAAAATGTGGCACACAGAACCAAACAATACTTCAATGTGGTTCAACCAGGATGGAACACAGTAGAGTAGAACTATCACTTTACTTGCTCTGGAGACAATGCTTCTAAGAATAAAGCCTATAATAAGTTCTGACTCACTAAACCCTAGGAAAAACTTTTTTTTTTGGAGGGGAAACCAACAATTTAATTCAAAAACATTTTTAAACTCTTACTATATATACAAGAAAAGCAGTGAGGTCAGGGCAGTTAGGTGGCACAATGGATAGAGCTCTGGCCTTGGAGTCAGGAGGACCTGAGTTCAAATCCAACCTCAGACACTTGACACTTACTAGCTGTGTGACCCTAGGCAAGTTACTTAACCCCAACTGCCTCACCAAAAAGCAGTGAGGCAATAGTGGATAAGAAAGAGGCCTGAGTCAGGAAGATGGGTTCAAGTCCTGCCCCTAACATATACTCCATCAAGATCTTTTTCACATGAACTGTTGTATAGCCCCATCTCCCACATCCTATACTTGTAGAATTGATTATTTTAACCCAAAGTGTAGCCCTTACTAGTTAAGCCTCTTAAATTATTAGATTTGGCCCATCAATCCAGCTTGTTGAGATCTTTTTAATGTCAATTCTAGCATTTATTAAGTATTCTACTATGTACTAGACATTGTGTAAGGTCACTATAATAGAGAATGTTTAGAGAAAAGAGTGCACAGGAAAGACCCTTGAGATACATCCACAGTTAGGGGGAAGAATATGGTTGATAACCTAGTAAAACTTGGCCTATAGTTCAAAGTATACTGTTTCTACTTTTGGAAAACAGGAAAGTATCTGCCCTTCAGTCCTAGGGCCCCTTTTGTAACCTTTTTAATATAATCTAAAGTGTTTTGGCATTCACACTGACGGGGTTCTTGAGCACCTGTACTCAGACCCCAATTCCAAGATCATATTTTCTCCTTAGCCTCAAAACACTATCCTTGACAGTCTTCTCCCCTGCCCAAAGACCGTATCTCTGACAATAACTCAGGAGTGGGCCCCGTGAGGCAAACTATCCCACTCTCTCTCCCTGTTATAAGAACAAGCTGACCTCTGTAGAACTGCCCTCATATGAATGAGACTATCTTGTATCAACAACACTATCATGCACTGATTCCCACAGTTATTGTAGACTATCCAGAGGTCAAGTTATAGACATCAACTCCCAAAGCTATCTTGTTACAGATGTAACAGACCAAAAATACACCCCTTAGGAACCTTCCTCCCACTGTTTCCAGTAGTAAATAATGCCTGTGACTAATGTTGTAGGTTATCACCTAATCAGCACACTTAGCACTACTTTCCTACTATATAATCTACTACTTTTCCTATATAAGCTTTAGCATCATTCCTGTTAGGTTGCAGAATACCTTAAGGAGCTCTGTCCACCACTGCAAGTTCCCTAGGGAGCTCTGTGCACCATATTGGTGTTATAATAAGCCTTTGCCAACTTGACTTAAAGAATGCTTGAGTCTGTGAATCCATTAAAGACAACCCTGTTCCTGTACCTCAGTCCTTAAGAGTCCTTGAACCTCTCAAACTGCATCAACATCAGCAGGGTCTTTAATTATCTTGGGATGTATTTCATCTGTGACTGGTAACACGAACTCATCAAAGACAGTTTGAAGCCTTATTACTATTTCCCTACTCACCTAGGCAATTGAATAATGATAAGCTATATTTGTTCTAACCTTTCAGGTTCAAAGCTCATTCCCCAAGAGAAAAAAACAAAAGCTGAGTGACTCTACCTTTCCTCCCAGGTCTATTATCATTATCACTGAGGCAAGATTCACAATAGGAATGCTCTCTCTTTTCCTCTACACCTTCCCTGTTTCCTTCAAATCTCAGATAAATACCTGACCTTCTACAGAGAACATTTCCAGATCCCTCCTAATTCCAGCACTTTGCTTCTGTTGATTCTTTCCTATTTATACTGGATATAGCTTGTTGTTATGTAATTGTTTGCATGTTGTCTCCCCCACTAGATTATAAGCTCCTTGAAGACAGGGCCAGTATTTTGCCTACGCTATACAAATATCATTGTTAATGATTTTAAAAGGCTTAGCACAGTGCCTGTTGTTGTTCAGTCAGGTCTGATTCTTCCTGATGCCACTTCCTTCTCCAGTAGATTAAGGCAAATAGAGGTTAAGGGGCTTGCCCAGGGTCACACAGTTCAAATGTGTCTGAGGCCAGATTTTAACTAAGGTCTTCCCAACTCCAGGCCCAATGTTCTTTGTGTCTTAAACAAATAGTAGGTGCTTTTAAAATGTTTATTGACTGATTTTTTTGGTCTGCTTTAATATTTTTATATTTTGGTGATATGTACATAATAAATCAATTTCAATCACTAAGTTCTTCCTCATCACTGAAATATGCACTTTTCTTTATCCTTGGGCGTCTCGAATCATCTGATGTTGAGGGTTCCCCTGCACTGGGCTTCCACCTTTGTTGGTCTTCTTCAATTTTGGCTTGCTGGAAAGCTATGGCTTGGCTGAGGCTATCAAGAGCAGGGTCTTCTCCTTCATCCTCACTTTCTTCCACTTCTTCAATTTCTTCTTCCAGTTCAATAATTTTCTTTCTTTTTTTCTTTTCTTTCTTTTTTGGTGGTTCACGTTCTCCAAGCACATTTTTAGGACAAGCATAACTTAGGTGACCTGTTTCTCCACATTCATAACACCTAGATTTATCAAAGTAGTTGCGCCTTCGGATGAACTCAGCAGCTCTTCCATTGTCAATAGCAATGCTTGCTTTTATCACTCTCCCAAATAACTGCTTCTTGTTTAGTGCCCTCGAACAGTTTTGTGCTGATTCTTTATCCAAAAACAAAATGAATGCAACACCTTTACTCTTCCTGGTATCTTTGTCTTTCATAATAGTAACCTTTACAACTTTTCCATATTTTGAAAATATCCTGTATAAGTCATTGTTTGTTAGAGAAAAAGGCAAGTTGGATACATATACAGTGCTTTTACTTGGTGCTAATCCACCACTCATTTCTCCTCACTTATCTAGACAGCAATGTCCCAGAGCAGAATTCCAAAACTAAGTAGATCAACTCCCTCAGTGACCTGAGACACAATCTTTTGAGTCTGGAGGGTGCTATTCAAGGTGGAGAAAAGGGAAGCAGATAGCAAGATGCTCAGGTAGGACTGGGTTTCCTGGTGGATTACTGGTTGGGGTGTGAGTCATAGGCTGGGGCCACCTTCTGCTCACAGCAAAAGGTGCCAAGAAATCCTTGGAGTTCTGGCACCACTGGAGATTCAATCCGCCTTTACCTCCTTAGCTCCAACAGCATCAGGAGACCACCAGGCCCGGTCCATTGACTGATTGCTTGCTATGATCCTGGGCAAGTTATTTTGGCTCTCAGGGTCTCAGTTCCCTAAGTCTCTTAAAATGAGATTAGACCAGCTTCCTCCTCTGTAAGAGATAAGATAAAAGATAAGAGATAAAGACACCTATTTTATGGGGTTGTGGTGAGGAACAAATTAGGCATAAAGGGCTTTGCAAATCTTAAAGCTCTAAATAAACATTAGTCATTATTGTAATTCTATGAGCTGAGTAGTAACATAATTATGCACTATCAAGTTTAGGAGAATTCCCCTCAACTTTCTTTTTTCTATTCTTTCTACTCTGCCTCCAACAGAATGAACAGTGTCTATTAATCAATCAGTCATTAAACATTTATGAAGCAATTACTAAGTACCAGGTGCTAAGCACTGGGGAGTCAAAAAGAGGCAAAACAGAGTCTGGCCTCAAGGAACTTACAATCTAATAGAGAAGACAACTTGCAAACAAATATATACTAAGCAAGCCATATACAGGATAAATAGGTCATAATTAAGAGGGAAGGCACTAGAATTAAGAGAGGTTGATGAAGACTTCTAGTAAAAGAAGTTATTTCAGCTGGGACTAAAGGAAGCTAGGGAGGTCAGTAGGCAGATCAGAGAATGGTTAGCCCAGGTATGGAGGAACAGCAGCTAGAGAAAATCGTCAGGGCCAAGACTTTTGTTTGTGGAACACCAAAAAGGCCACAGCATGAAGACTGGAAAGGTAGGAGGGGCTAGGTTATGAAGGACTTGCCAAACACAGAATTTTCTATTTGCTCCTAGAGGCAACAGGAAGCCACTGGAGTTAAATATGAATGGGATGACATGACTGGAGCTGGGTTTCAGGAAAATCACTTTGGGATCTGGAGAATGGATTTGGAATGGGGAGAGACCTGAGGCAGGATGACCCACCAGCAGGATACTGCAACAGTCCAGTTGTGACATGATGAGGGCCAGCACTAGAACGGTGGCAGTGTCAGAGACAAGGAGGTGTATGTATACTGGAGAGATGTTGCAAAGGTGAAACTTACAGGCCTTGCCAACAGCATGGATATGGGGGAGAGGAGGAAGAGAGATAATGAGAAATCCAGGATGACTCCTGCATTGTACGCCTGAGGAGGATGGTGCGGTCCTTTACAGTGATAGGGAAGGTCGGGGTGGAGAGACAGGATATTTGGGGGATAATGACAGAATAATTTGAAGTTCAGGATAGACCTTAACGCCTGTTCTAGCATTAACTGGCTGTATGACCTTGGAAAAGTCACTTAATGTCTCTAGGCCTCAGTTTCCTCATCTTTAAGGAACTGAAGCACTCCTAGAACTCAAGGTCCACACCCAAGGATGAGCGAGGGAAGCACAAAGCTACAAGGAAAGGCCGCCACAAGTCCTCTGAAGTCAATACCCCTCCTCAGACCACAAACTTGACCCACCTCCGGCGAGGGCGGCAACAGCAGGCTGCGAGATCCGGGACCTACAGGCGCGCCAGCCGAGGGCACGACGTCCGCGCGAGTCACCAGGTAAGGCGATTGGCGAGCCTTAGAAACGTCACTTCCGGAAGTGCTGCCTCCAGCGGCGCCGTAGGCATGGATCCGGCCACCAGCAAGGAGTCAGGCCGGCTGCGGGGACGGCCGGGGGTTGGCGTCGGGGTGGTGATTACGAGCTCCAGGCACCCTCAATGCGTTCTGCTGGGGAAAAGGAAAGGGTCCGTTGGAGCCGGCACTTTCCAGCTTCCCGGGGGTCACTTGGAATTCGGGTGAGTTCCTTCCGGCGCGCTGCTTCTGGCGTCATTCTGACGTCAGCGCCTCGCGTTCCGGAGGAGGAGGGGCTGGGCGGGGTTAGGCTGATAGCTGTTGGGGGAACTTTCAAGTTCAAGGGAGTTGGGTTTTAATTCGCTAACCACTGCTGGATCTCAATTAATATAAAGAGGTATTCTCCCCAACTTGGTCGCATTACTCGAATTCCCACTGCAAATTTCCACTGGGCTAGAATAATTTATCGTATTTTGTTCGGTCGTTTTAGTCGTGTCCTAGCTCTTCGTGACCCTATTTGAGGTTTTCTGGCAGAGATATTGGAGTGGTTTGCCATTTCCTTCTTAAGCTCATTTTACACATGAGGAAACTGAGGCAAGCAAGGTTAAGTTACTTGCCTGGGGTCACACAGCTCAGGTCTGAGGTCTGATGAACCCAGGTTTTTCTGATTCTAGTCCCGACACTCCATCTACTGCGCCGCCAGTCGAGAGTATGGTACAAGCTATATAAATGTGAGCTGTTATCATCATTATTATTATTAATTGCCTGGCACGTACTAAGCACCATATGTTAGCTATTATTCTTAATTGTAAAGTGATAAGCACAATATTGAGTGCTCTGTGAGTATTATTAATGATTTTAGAAGGCTTAGCGGAGTGCCTCTCATCTTGTTGTGCAGTCGTGTTGGACTCTTTATGATGCCATTTCCATTTCCGATAGATTAAGCCAAACAGGTTAAGTGACTTGCCCAGGGTCTCACAGCTAGAAAGCGTCTGAGGCCCGATTTGAACTCAAGTCTTTCCAACTCTGGGCTCAGTGTTCTATCCACTGAGGCACCTACTGTTAGGTGTGTTACTCTATTCAAATAAACCTGCTTCTCAATGTTGAATGAAATGGACGGAATAAAGCATTTCAGCCCTATGTTGGAAGCAGTGTGCCAAGCTCTAGAGATACAAATAGCCCATCCCTGTTCTTAAATGTTGCCAGATGAATGAATCCAGATGGGAGCCAAGTGTTTGAGAGGCTCAGAGGTAGGAGCAAAGGAAGAACTTTCAAGAATGACATGAGCAGAACCAGGGACACAATTTATACAATGGCAGCAACTGAGAAACAACTTTGAAAGCTGCAAGAACTATGACCCACGTAATGATCCTTCATGATCTGAAGACGTCTGAAGAACATTTGAGGTATAGGTAGGGGAGCAGAAGGAAGAAGGTGTGGGGCAGGTATGTAGGACAGCAGTCACTTTAGCCAATTACTAGTACCACTCCAGAAGAGAATACTACAAGATAAACATGGGGAAGGAGGGTTAAGATTGTAGAGAGCCTTGAATGCCTAACAAAGGATTTTAAACTTTTCCTGCTGGAAGGCACAGAAGGTAGCCAACTCATGAGGAAGATGTCTGAATGTACTTTCCTTTGGGAAAGTTAATCTTTGACCTTTGAAGCTTTTCTTACCAGGCTTTCCATCCATTTTGCAGAACAGGATGAATGAATGAAAAGAGCCTTTGTTAAGCTCTTACTATATGCTAAGCAGTGTGCTAACTTTTGGAGGTAGAAATAGATTGAGACAGTCCCTGCTGTCAAGGAGTTCACACTCTAATTGAAGGAGATAACATGAAAAAGGACAGTTGCAGGGTAGATAGAAGGGCCTGGAAGCCTCAAGAGCATAAAGGGCCAAGGAGATGGCAAGGCCTGGGGTCTTCAGGTTACAAGTGGTCAACTAGCTTTTGCTTGAAGACCTCCAGTGGTCAGACAGGAACCACTACCTCCAGAGGCAGCCCATTCCACTTTGGGACAACTGTCATTGGGAAGAGGTTTTTCCTTTAGTTAAGCCTAAATTTGCCTCTCTGTATCTTCTAGTAATTGCTCCTAGCTCTGCCTTCTGAATCCAAACTAGGAAGTTAAATACCTTCATAACTTAGCCCCCCTTCCTGCCTTTCCAGTCTTCTTACACCTTCCTCCTCCACATACCCTGTGATCCAGTGACACTGGCCTTCTGGCTGTTCCACAAAAAAGCACTCCATCTCTCAGCTCCAGGCATTTTGTCTAGATATCTCATGTATCTAGAATGTTCTTCCTCCCAGATTCTGATTCTGAATTCTGATTCCTCCAGGAATTCTGATTACTGACCTGGATGGCTTCCTTTAAGTCCCAATTAAAATCCCACCTACTACAAGAAGCCTTCCCCAACCCCTCTAAATTCCAGTGCCTACTCTCTGCTAATTATCACCTATTTATCCTGTATATGGCTTGCTTTGTATCTATTTGTTTGTATGTTGGCTCCCTTTAGAGTCCTTCCTTGAGGGCAGGAGCTGTCTTTTGCCTCTTTGTATCCCCAGCACTTAGCACTGAACCTGACACATAGTAGGTACTTAATAAATGTTGATTGATTGAATACTGAACTTTGGGCTATAGCTTTTTAATCTATAAAATGAAAGGTTTGGCCTAGATGAAATTTCACTTTCCTTCCAGGTCTGTTTATCTCTGACTGATGAACTAAAATTATTTAATCACACTTAAAAAAGAATTAAGCCTAATCTCTGTAGACTTAATTGGGTTGCCCCAGGAATCATTAACTTTAACTGTGTGGTAGACAGTTGTAAGATTAGAAAGGTGAAGGTGACTTGCTGAATAAATTGTTTCTGGGTGTTGACTTCAGTGGATATCATAAGATTGATGATTTTTTAAAATTGATTTTTTAAAAAAAATTCAGCTATTTACTTTAATATGGAAAGCTGTAATAATTTATCACTTCCTCCCCAGAGATTGAATCTAGAAGTTAATTAGATGAGCTCTAAAGATGTATAACATTAATAGTGAAGATATATTAATATAGACCTTTTTACCAGAAGCAATACCTTCCTTAACTGTTAGAGACTAGAAATACAGATGAATTGTCCTCAGAATTCAAGATATATATGTGTATGTATATGTGTGTATATACACATATACAGGTGTTTGTGTGTGTATATACCTATATACTTGTGTGTATGTATATATGCATATATACACATACATATATATGTATGTGTGTGTATACTGGCATAATGGCCATTAATCAGCTAATGTCCTTTAGTGATTACTACTTGCCTCATCAGATTAATAATGTATTTGGTTTACTTCATAGTAAACTCTTAGCACAACAAAGAGCATTTTAAAAATAGCTATAGGAACAAAATGAAGTATGAGTAAATATACCTGTAGATCAGCATGCTTTTATTTAGTGCCTATCGTGTGCTAATCACTCCAGATACAAGGACAGAAGTGAAAAAGACCCTTCTCTAAAGGAGTATATAGTCTAGTTAGGTAAGACAATATTTATATAGAGAGGTATACACAAAATACAAGGTAATTTTCACTAGCAGCTGACAGGGGCAGGGAGATGAGAAAAGGCTTCATGAAGTATGTGGCATTTGAGCTGAATCTTGAAAAAAGATAAGTATTCTAAAAGGGTGAGAGGGTACATTTCAGGCATGGGTGGGAGCTGGTGGCCAGGTATGACAAGAGGTGAAGGGCCATATGTCTGACAAAGGAGGAAAGCCAGTTTGCCTGGATTGTAGGGTGTGTAAAGGGGAGAAAGGTAGGAAGGGGAAAACTGAGGAGTTTATATTTAATTCTAGAAGTAATTGGTAGTCATTGGGGTTTACTGAGTAGGGGGTGTGACTTTATGAGAGTCACTTTGGGTAGCTTTGTGGAGGATGGATTGGGAATGGAGGGAGACTTGAGGCAGGGAGACCAATTGAATGGAATGAATTAAGTGAAAAATCATTTATTAAGTGCTTTTTATATGCTAAGCATTATATTAAGTGCTAGAGTTACAGGTAGAGAAAAAAAAGATCATTCCTGCTTTCAAGACGTTCACACTAATTGGATGAGATATCACATAAAAGAGAGTTCAGCTACAGGATGGATAGTAATGCCCAAATAGCCAAAGTAGGTAGAGATGGGGTGGATGGTAGGGCAGTAGTTTACACATGGGAAAACTGAAGAAAAAGAGAGGGATAATAATTTGCCCAAGATAAATACAGCTAGTAAGTGTCAAGCCCAGCTTTTGAACCCTGATTTTTTGACTTCCAAATCCTGCTTTTCTTTGTTTTATTACACTCTAGAATGGCAGGAGCATGGTGGGTTTCCTTCTGAATGTATCATTTTGAGGTTTTTGAACCAATTATAATGATTCTTGCTGTACTCTGAAGTTTTTATTTATTAAAAGTTTTATAAATCAAGGTGAACACTATAGTATACTTCTATTGTCTTTCCAGTGAAAGCTGGGAAGAGTGTGCTGAGAGGGAAACCTTGGAAGAAGCCGCTCTTCACCTGAAAAATGTTCGCTTTGCTTCTGTTGTCAATTCTGTCAGTGAGAAGGATAATTACCATTATGTCACTATATTGATGAAAGGAGAAGTGGACATGGCTTATGATTCAGAGCCAAAGAACACAGAACCTGAAAAAAATGAAGGTAAGTTGGATTTGCAGTGATCTTTATTCTTTGGGGGAAGAATATGAAATTGTGGGTAGAGTATAGTCTTACTCATTAGATTACTTACTTATCTTGTTGGCTTTTGCCACTGTTTTAGACACTGCCATGACTGTAAGCCAGTCATTTCTTTTTCAATTAATTAATTTGCTTATTCATTCATTCATTTATCTGTATTTATTTTTCATTTTGAACATTTATTTCTATAAGATTTTGAGTTCTAAATTTTCTCCCCCTCTTTCCCCTCCTCCTTACCCAAGACAGCGTGCAGTCTGACATAGGCTCTACATATACATTCATATT